AAACTATTAAATTTAGCAGATGTCCTCGTCACTTTGACCTTTAGACTAAAAACCTTAATAATGTCATTTATTTACCTTTGTGTAACTTGGATGAGTATCTTATATGTTGGATATATTAGTTGAACACAATCTAATCTGAGTAAAGAGGAAACCTGGAAAATCTTATATCCCTTTGTATGAACAAATTCATTGTTGTCATGCAGTTATCTTAACCAAAATATCAGAACAATCTGATGATTCTTAAATCAAGTTCTCACTATACTAGTCAGAAACCATTAGTCTACCTGTTAAACACAAAAATATGAATGTCAACTCAACAAAAAAGCAAGTAAGGTTCCTTTTCTTCAAAGAGTATATTTTATGCCTATAAAGAAAAATATATGTCCTCCATTTCGACTGTTTGGATAAAGAACTGTTTAAATAATTGAATCAATGTAATATCATTCTAAATGTCATAGTATCCATCATTCATAATATGTACAAGTTGCTATCCTAATAGAAGAATCCACATTTTGTTTTTATTTCACATCACTTGGCGGCCATATTTGAGGGAAACTCAAAATTCTCTGTTCATGTAATTTTCAATTACATTTGACATAACTCATTTGCTTCTTGTATTTTCATTGCCCAAATCAGAGCTATTCATACATAGAAAGAGAACAAAAATGAATACAGTGAATTTATTGCAATAATACCTACATGTTTGATACATAAAGAGAAATATTTTTTTCATTCCTTTTTGACCTTTGGATTGACCCTGAATAGAGATACCATTTACTTTTTGGCAAGTGTAAACTATATACTGCATGACTAAACATGGTTTGTATATTGAAATATGAAATGGTTTCTTTAATGCTTAAATCAAAATACTCCTACTGTCCTAGTGAGAATTATGCTCAATCAACTTTGTGAAATATTCCCAACTTCCAATGCTTCTTATTTACATTTAAAAAAACTGACTCAAATAAAATTGTTTGTTTTCTCATTTATTTTACAAGAAATAACATGCTGACAGTGAATCTAATCATTTTTTTTAAACTGGTTAAAGTAATTTTTACAATTGTCTTAAAATGCTCAAATACAAGTTTATTTCATACACAAATACCTTAAATGTATAGACTAAATGTACTTATAGATTCAATATATAGATTAACCCCTTATAAATAGTAAAAACCATTTCTTAAACCTGATTTTCTTGCCTATTCTCTCATGCATTACCTAATTTGAGTATTCTCAAATTATTGATTACATGAACAAACAAATTTAACACAAAACCACAATATATGCTGAATGCCCTGAAATGAAATGGTTACATATGTAAGATGTGTAACACATCATGTACAACTTTTAAGTCTACAAAATTTTAAGTTAACCATATTATACAATAAGACTACTTTTTTCAAAGTTATGAGAAATTCTCCACAAAAAAAAAAAAAAAAATGTTTTTATGCAAAAGATAAATGTTAGGGTACAATTTTAAAATACATTTTACATGAATCACATAAAGAACATATCAAATCATTTCTTTGTGATTGTTTTCCATTGGAACATCTGTGAACAAACATTCTGTTTTGTCTTGTTTTTTGATACATAAAAAGCGTCCAATAATCATTTGGAATTGTTGTGTTAAACCCTGATACTCAGAATTTTAAGAGTTTCTGATGTGTGCCCTACTTAGAAATGTTTACAATGTAACAAAGATGAAACTCATAATTGATTTAATCAGCAATTATAAAGTCATCAGGTTTACACATGCTTTTCTAACACATCATGTACATTTTTTTTCTACTAGTATGCCTTTGTTCACAAAAAATTGAAATCAACAGTACTTAGCATTCCATAGTAAGAAATATGAACCCTAGCTATTAAAAATCTAAAAGTATATTTGTGCATCAATGCATTATGTTTAACAAAACAATCTCTTTCACTGTGATGAAAAATTCTCTCCTACATATAACATGCAGATAAAGAACTTCTTTGGATGATGTCATTTTCACATGTAGAAAAGAAACTAATTCAACTAAAACTAAAAGACAGTCATTGAAATTTTAAGGACATTAAAGGATGATATCAAGACCGAAGTCCAGGAATTGATAAAATTCTACAATTATCATCCAAAGATGTATATGTTTGGATTTATTTTTTAATTCACAAGCAAATGATATGCTGCCATTTAATCTTTCAAACTTAAAAAAAAAATTCTATACTTTTGAATTAAAAATTTCAAAATCTAGAGGAGTCTTCCCAATACCTATCTACATGTATTTATGACTGAAGGTATGTAAATCACCAGAGTTGCTGTACTGCACCATTTGAATAAAAGTCATATCCACATTCTTGATTTTTTTCCCTAAACCTTATTTCAAAACATAAATTATTCCAACCAGTCTTTATCTACGCAGTGTTAATAAACTTTTCACAGAATTCTAAGGTATTACATAGTAATAGTCTTTAAACATCCTTGAACATAGTGCATATGATTTACATTTCAATTCTTTCCAAAGAATATGCTATGCCACCCAATAGAGCTGATATAAAGTCTTTAGGTTATCACAAAATGTTAAAGTTACAACAACTGAATTTTACCCAGGAGAAAATGATCCAAAAATCTATAGAAAATCTCCGAATCTTTCTTTACTTATGATGTGAATTTTGCAGGTTACAAATTATTGTCAAAGGTAGTTATCTCAATAATCTCATGCTTTGACCCTGACAAAGTGTCCTATAAAACTAAGTGTATTACTCTAACCTGTTCTGTGTAGTAAGCATGAAGTCTAATGTTGATAGAAATATTCAAGATATTATTACATCACAGATCAGGGGACACTTACATCTTTATGGGGGTCCTATTGAGACCTATTAAATTCGAAATAGGACACACACACACATACACAAACAAAATGTATTTACAGTTCCAGGAAAGTAATAATTACACCAAAGCTAGCTTTTAAACATATGTGTAATTTGTTAGGGGTTGTAGAAATAAGATGAAAAATAAAAGGTTTAAATGTATACTTCTCATACATAACAACTGTCTTCAATATGAATTGGTAAAAATAAAAGTCACATTTAGATACTTTGAAGTCTGGGGAATTATTTTTTTTTTTTTGAAGATCTCATACTATCAGAAAATCACAATATCAATTCTAGGATTTGATTAGACCTCAGTTTGTTATATGACTGCAATTTATCTATTGTTGTGTATGACAGAATATGAAAGATATGAAGGGGAGAGCTTTTGACCTTTTTTCCTTCATCATAGTTTAAAATATATATTATACCGGTCTTTATCTATGTAGTGAATATAGGATTTTTACAGAAACCCTAGGTATTACATAGTAATAGTCATATAAACACCCTTGAACATTGTACATTTGATTAACATTTCAATCCTTTCCTAAGAATTTGCACCTAATTTTTATAAAGTATATAAGTTATCACACAATGTTAAAGTTACTGCATTACAGGACTCAAATCAGTAATCTCAGTAACTAACTTTTACCCAGGATTAAATGATCCAAAAAATCTATAGAAATATCTTATTGATTCTTCATCTGTGTACTTATGATGTGAAGTTTGTAAGTTACAAATTATTGTCAAAGAAGTCATCTCAATAATCTTATGCTTTGACCTTGACAAAGTGTCCTAAACAACAAAGTGTATTCCTACAACCATTCTATATGTAATTAGTATGATGAATATGGTATGATAAAGATATTCAAGATATTATTAAACCACAGATTATGGGACACTTGCATCTTCATTGGGGGTCTTATTGAGACAAATTTTAAATTCAAAATTAAACATGATACATACACAAACAAAATATATTTACAATTCCAGGAAAGTTAAATAATAACATTAAATCCAGCATCTGGATATCTGTGTAATTTCTAGCACAAGATTATGGGACACTTGCATCTTTATTGGGGGTCTTATTGAGACAAATTTTAAATTCAAAATTAAACATGATACATACACAAACAAAATATATTTACAATTCCAGGAAAGTTATAATAACATTAAAACATTGGATAAATCCAGCATCTGTAAGAAAAAAAATATACATAACAACAGTCTTGTGAATTTTCTAGGGGGTTGCTCATGCTATCAGAAAAAAAATTAGATGAAAAATAAAAGGTTTAAATGTAAGAGTAATTCCCATACATAACAACAGTCTTCGTTAAATTTAAATTTTTTAAAAATAATGAATTGGTACGTTTGTAAAAGTTTATGTAAGAAGTCACATTCAGATAGTTATGAGGATCACGATTTTGAAATAACAATATGACCGACTAGATTTTGACAGATACTTACCGCTGCATTATCAAAAAAAATGACGAATTAGAATTATTTTTTAAAAAGAAAGCTCATGCAGATATTTTTTTTCAAGATTATATATATTCCTGTGAATTTGAAATAAACACAAAATCATATTTTCAAGAACAAATTGAAATTTGATTTGATCACGGTGTTAATAATAATTTATTTTTAAAAATATAAAAAATAAAAACAACGCATGTAATAATGATTTATTAAAAAAAATAATATAGTTCTGATACAAATGTCTTGTTTTATTATCACTGTAAATGATTTTAAGATAGACACCTCGAGCAAGCACCCTTGACAAAAAACTCGCAGAAATTATGATCGAGACAGAATTATGAGTTGGAATAGATTTTCGTAAATGATATTAAAATAACTAAAAGTTAGATCAAAGATTCTATATAAGATGCTTGTTAAGTCACCATTAAGCTAGTCAGTGTACTGACAGTGAAAATATTATGGGACAATCTTTTGGGGGTCCTTTCAATTTTAAATTGTGTCATGATACATACACAAACAAAATATATTTACAATTCCAGGAAAGTTAAATAATAACATTAAATTCAGCATCTGGATATCTGTGTAATTTCTACGGGGTTGTAAAAATTAGATGTAAAAATAAAAGGTTTAAATGTGTAATTACCATACATAACAACAGTCTTCAATATGAATTGGTCAAAATAAAACTCACATTCAGATACTTTGAGGTCCGTGAGAATTAGTTTTTAAAGAGCTCATGCTATCAGAAAATCATATTTTCAATACTTGATTTGACTAAATCTCAGTTTGATAAATGATTACACTTTATCCATAGTCAGTGTCTGACAGTGAAAGATACAATCCTGACTTCTTTCTTTGTCATCCTGTAAACCACAGTCTATGATCGTACTGGTTAAATTAGTTGGAAATCATATTTATGTTCTTCTTAAATCCTCCATCTTTTAAGTTTGGTTTTCTTGTTTCAGTGTTCCAGGAGAGGATATTCTGTTAGTCTTTGCATAATCTGATAGTCTTTCACCATTCTGAGAGTAGACATAGATCATTTCCATAAGCCCTCACTAGAGAATCCTGGAAAATTAAAAAAAAAATGTCTTAGTTGAAAAAAAAAAAATTGTTATATAATATAAGCTTGATGGAATTCTAAATATAGACAAAAAGGGTATAAATACAAGGTGTTACATCAGATTTTGACTTTTCATATTAACCATGGGTAACACCTCCAGTAAAGAAAAGAGTAAAGGAATGAGTAAAATTCAGTTTGGAAAGAGAGTTCTTTCAGAGAAAGATGTAGACAGAGGTATACCAGTTAAAATAAAAAAAGATGGCACTATTGAGATCATTTCTCAAGAAGAATATAACCAATTATGTCCAGAAAAGGGTGATCCTAATGTTGTCAGAGATTACATAGAAAGACCCTTGATTGCAGAAGAAGCCAATGAAGAATATAACCATTTATTACCAAAAGAGGGTAAGAATTACTTGGATTACCCTGAAAGACCCTTGACTAGAGAAGAAGCTAAGTTTATAGATGATAAGAAAAAACAGTTGTCAGAAAAAAAAGATTGACAAAGACACAGGATTTTAAACCCACAAAACCATTGGAGATACAAGGATTACAAGATACAAGGATTAATGGAGGAAGTCCAAACTGAACTCTTGGAAGACATTAAGGCTCATTATGAGAGTAACTTTCCAGTGTTTGTTTATTACAAAATGATGTATTCTGATCAAAAAAAAAAAAAGAAAAGAACTTTTCACTTTCATTTGTTGTGCCTTTGACCATTTAAATTGACCTTATGGTCAAGATTGTGATATATACACTCTGATAATCATCTATGATGTCTCTATGATGTTTACCTCAAAAGATTGAATCAGGGTATTTGTGTTCAAAGAGCTGAAGAAACTATACAGACAGATCTAAGATGTTGGAAGCATACATATTAATGAGGTTAAAGGAGATATAACACTAGATTATTAAAAAGAAAGAACACAAACTCATAGAAATGATATTGAAAGTACCTTTTATGAATAAAGTGTCATGCTCCAAGGTATTATTTTTATAAACAGGAGAAGGTTTACAGCAGTCCCATACACTCATAAGAAGATCTTGGGTAGTAGAAACACCAGGAAATTTTATTTCCACACAATCAGATCATCTTACATCAGTTATAAGGTTACAATCTTTATACATAGTTAAGAGGGTCATTAAGATTTCTTTTCTGGTCATCCTAATGAGCCACATTATAGTATTCTTTCTCTTTGATATAATGTTAATATTAAATGGAAAATTCAGAATTCATCAGCAATTGAAGTCAAAACTTGCTATCTTTACCAACTATGCTATTAAGGAAGCTGGGGGTAAACAAATTAGCCATATTTAACTTATTCTATAAATATGTTATCTTCAGCTGTTAACTATCATTTGGCAAAGAAAAATTTCATACATTTTAGTTTTAAAAATTTGATCATGAATTTTTATGCCTTTTCTTCTTCTTCTAAAGGATATCAATAGAGTTTAAACATGACCATGACCACCAAGCCCTCTTTATTTTAAAAAAATCATATATCATTTACTTATCAATTCAAAAATATAAAAATGCATATGTAAATAAATAAATAAATAAATAAAAATTACAATTGTATCTCATTGAAACTTTACCTTCAAGTTTGTGTGTTTCTATGTTGATTGACTAACTGTGTATTTCCAAAGGAAGACCAGCAGCCAGGCTTCACTTCATAGAGAATGGATTATAGATGGTTAAGAACAAACCAATTCTTCCATGTTGAGGACTGTAGAAATAAAACCATTTTGTTAATATGACAGAGTACTGCATGAAACAATGCATGTTTAAATACAACATGTACAATGCCAAAAAAGATCATGAAAATATTTGTTTTTAATCTCAAAAAATTGTTTTTAACATTAACTCCAGATGAGAAAAGTTCATCATGTTATCTATAGATAATAAACAAGCACAACTACTGTATTAATATCATAAATAAAATGATTATCAGATTAATTATTTAGACACTAAAAAACTTACTATCTTTATGATATTGATTTCCATTATCAGATGTTTTTTATCCATTTTTTTTATCCATTTTAAAATATAAACATTTAAATAAAACAGAATTAAATAAATGAAAATGATATCTCATTGAAACTTCACCTTCAAGTTTGATTGTTTCTATGTTGGTTGACTAACTATGTATTTCCAAAGGAATTTGGGCAGACAGGCTGAACTTCATAGAGAATGGATTATAGATGGTTGGGAATAAAACATATCTTCCAGGTTGAGGACTGTAGAAAATATAATCATTTTGTTAATATGACAAGGAACTGCATGAAACATTGCATGTTTAAATACAGTGCCAAAAAGTTCATGAAAATAGTTCATCATGTTATCTTTAGATAACAAAAGAAGCACAGTTACTGTATTAATATCACAAATACAAAATGATTATCAGTGTAATTTTTAGACACTAACAGACTTTCTCTTAACAGCATATTCAATTTTGTTTAATACCTGTCAGTACAGCATACAAAAAGATATTAGCATATACAACATGTAGTCCTACATTTTTTGAAAAGCTCATTACCAAGAAACAAAAGTGAAAATGAAAATATATGTATGCCATATATACCACATATTTAGAATCAAAACAAGGATAAACCTTTTGTAGATTCTTACTTTTTCTTTTATTACATTCCTTATAGATCACAATTTAACAAGTCTGAATTCCATGGGTAACAGACATAATGAATTATGACATTATATCATAATTTATGCAAAAGGACTTATTAACAATATGAAGTTTCCTTAGTATATTTTAGACAAAATAAGACTGTGCTTATATGAATGTTAGAGATATTAGATCACATAAGAATTACACAGTAATTAAATTAAACCATATAATCATGGTTAAATGCAAAGATGACCTTCATAGGAAATGTAAACAAAACAAAGACAAACTTACCAGAATTATCCAATTATATGCCCAATTAAATAATCCAGTGAAATAACATCTCAGCTGATCCTGAAAAAAAAGCATACAATATTCAGTGATACACAAATTAACCTCATTTTACAAAGGAAGTAAAGCAACAATTGACAGACAAACAGGACAGAAATGTAAAAGATACCATATGTATTTTACCAAAATTTAGTAAACATTTTTTCTGATTTAAATTCAATCACAGAATGACCCATCATAGTAATATTAAATACACTCTGGGTTACATGCAAATTATACCTTACATAAAATGAGAATAAATACCCCATTTACATTCATATAAACTGAATTTTACATAACTGATTACTCTTTTAACTGATGTCACCATTAGTATGTCAGAATATTCAGGGTGTACAAATCATGTATATTCACTTTCAAAGTACTCAATATATATTTTACATGTTGATGTTTGAAATCACTGACTAAATAAAATACATACATGTATATACATGAAGGTTTAAAAAAAAAAAGGGGGGGCACACATGTTTATAGATTTACAGAGATGCTCAGACTGAGTTTTTCCCACTTTCATTGGGCCACTGTTGCACCAGAATGTAAAAATATGAGTGACAAATAAGGCAAAAGATTCTGTATATTTCATTAAAAAAGATTTGAGACAAAAGATTCATTGGCATAATATGATCTGATTGATTATCTCCATATCCTTCTTTTGGTCACTGTGATTAAAGATTCATAGAAATATTAGAAATGACAACTGAGAATATCCGAGGTTATAAAACTTTTTGGAGTTCAAATTCGTACTCCAAATGCAAAAAAGATTTATCAACATTTTCAAATTCATAGAAATGTAAAAAGAAAAGTTTGTTAAAACTCCTACTCCAAATTCAAACTCGTACTCCAAAATGGAGGTTATAAAAATTTATTATACTCATACTCAAACTCCAACGGAGTACAAACTCAAGATTTTTCAAGTATGCTCCAAACCAACCTCAGAGTCAATCTCAAGTGTCGTCTGTAAAAATGGCAGCTCGCAGGGTTTTAGTTTGGCGCTATCGAAATGCTCAGCAGCACAGGCGTCCGAGGTTTTTTAGAGACCGCTCCAATCCCCTTGAAGATTTGGACGAGGACGAAGTTTTCGAAAGGTATCGTTTCCGACCTCAGACGATCCTGTTCATCCTTGGACTTCTTCCCAATCTTGCAAGACCCACAGGACGCAACAACCCCTTGCCACCACTGTTGCAGTTACTGTTATGCCTGAGGTTCTTGGCCACTGGTGCTATCCACCTTCTCATCGGGGACTCGTTGAATATTTCCCGGAGTACGGCCGGCAGATGTATTCGGGATATTGCTTCCCATCTTTCCAATCTGTGCCGGAGATTTGTTAGATTCCCCACTGGAAACGACGCCTTATCCGTGAAACGTGCCTTCTCCGCCATTGCAGGTAAGAAAACGAAAGTTGTTGAAAATTACGTCAGAAATTCGATACCTTGTCGTTTCGACTCCCATTAGTTTAGGTCCCATAACTATAGTTATTTTTAGACCCCAGTGAATGAAAGCGTAAATTACCATCAATACAATACCGTTTCACTTTTTTTCATGCAATACTTTGTACCATATTATAAAAAACAAGATAAATAAATTAATAATTAAACATGGAATGTGTAATTATATCTGTCCATTAATTGCAGCTAATAAAAAAAATTAATGGACTGTACACTCTAATTTCATTGAGAGAACCGGGACTCAATATAATTTTGAATACTTTAGTGATATACAATAATAAAATAAGAGAAAGAAAATTATTTATCAAATTTGAAATTTTTGTATTGTGTAATTAATATTTTATACAATATAATAGTATATATTACAGAGCTTAATTATTTTTTGATTTTAAATAATTGCATTAATTATTAATTTATCTAGAGAGGCCAGTGAGTGTGACACATGTATTCTTTATTCTAATGAAATTTAGGTTTTCCAAATGTCCTTGGATGTTTGGATGGCACTCAGATTAGAATTAGGAAGCCGAAACTGAATGAGGCAGATTATGTAAACAGAAAAGGCTATCATTCTTTGAATGTGCAGGTAAAAGTATTAGTAAAGTTTGATCATCTGGATCTAATATTGAAAGTCATTTAATCTTTTAAGATAAGGAAATTTTAATGAATAAACAGAAAAAATGATGCATTCAATAAAAAAATGTAAGAGTTGTAAATATTATATGCTTTTGAAACTTGTTTTTGAAAAAAAAAAAGAAATATAAAGAAGAATATACATGTAGTTACCTATAAGTCATAATGCATATCATATGCTTACTGACCAATAATATCTTGGTACATCTGAAATCATTTCATTTTTACTTGAATACTAGATATTTTATTTTTATACACATTTCTGGAACATAATGAACTATATATATATATTGAATAATTTCCATCTCTCTGATTGGCTGAAATTCCAACTATGTTAGAAAAATATACGTTGTATTGACCACACATGTGGATAACAAGTTCAATACAAGGACTTATTTACTGACTACATTGATCTAAAAATAGATGTGTGAAAATTCCAAATTGATACAAATTGTTTTAGAAAGCTCTTTAATCGACTGTGATTTTTATTTTCATGTGAACAATACATAAGCGAATATATATTTTAGGTGATTTTGTTTAGGAGAACTGATATCCAGTGTGAACACTTTTAAACAACAATTTTTTTTTTACTTTTTTACTTTTTGGCAGTTAGTTTTTGAATTTTAATACTCCTTCCTTTAAAAATCTATCCTATCAAAAAGATTTAAATTATATATTTTTTTCATGGCAACTAAAATTAATTAAAAAAAACATTTCAAATTGAAACGACTGGTAAGGTTTATTCACATTTTAATTCTGCTTCTCTCTTGTATTTGGCTATGATTTAATGAATAAGCTGTATCATTTTATCAGTGAATCATATAATAAAACAATTATTGCTCTAAAAATTTTTCCAGATTGAACCACCAGGCAAATTTTCACCAAACTTACTTACAAGGATCACAATATGTTTAACATTAAAATTTGCAAGGGGAATTACTCCTGGGGCAAATGGCTAAATCATTCAAAGTTGACCAAAAACAGCAATAATTGTAAAATATATACTATATTGTTAATAAATTAAATTTTTGTCTGTTGTGAAATTCCCTTACACTTTAATTAATATACAGATGTGCTGTGACCACACATTTAGGATAACAAGCTGTGTTGCAAGTTGGCCTGGATCTGTTCATGACAGCAGGGTGTTCAGACAATCCGCACTGTGTGCACAGTTTGAAAATGGTGAGATTCCTCCTTTTTTTCATTAAATAACAAATAATGTGCCTCAATTCCCAAAATTTAAATATTTGCTCCTAACAGATAGTTATAACTTTTACACAATTTTTTTTAGGAGAACTGATATCCAGTGTGAAAAGTGATTAAAACCAATTGCTAATTAGTTATAATTCTAGTCCAATACGTTCCTAAGGTCTCCAAATTTATAAGATCTTTTGAATTTTATTAGCTCTTCTGAGCCAAAGGCTCAAAGAGCTATAGTATACTATGGCCATTAAAATTTGTGCTGTGTGTGGTGAACTTTTCAAGCCATAACTCAAGAACCCTTCAATTGCTGGCCAATTATTGTCAAATTTGTGACAGCTCCTTGGCCCAAGGGGTACATAAAGCTTTTATTGTGGAAGTAGTAAAAATATTAACCATTAATTTAAATTAAAACTAGCACTGGGACTCTTAAGCAAAGGGAGATAATCGGGAAAATAAAACCAAAGGCACTGGTTTCTAAAAATCTTCCATTCCAGATTGAACCACCAGGCAAATTTTCACCAAACTTACTTACAAGGATCAGGATATGTTTAAGATTAAAATTTGCAAGGAGAATTACCCTGGGGCAAAGGGCGTGGTCTCAAATTCACTTTAAAGTTGACCAAAATTTACACTAAATAAATTTGTTAATTAATATTTTGTGTACTATAAAGACAAGGATCATCAAATCTTGTACGACTGGTGAATCTTAGGACTTTACATCATGTTAACTGAAAAATAGGTCACAGTGACCTTCTTTTATAATTTTGCAGGCATTTGTTTTCAAATTGATTTTGAGACATATTTTGGACATTTTAAGGCCTAGCTTTTGATCATCAAACTTTGTCAGTTGATGCATCTTAGGTCTTTGGATACTTATTAATAAGAGCTGAAGACTTCAAAAAGAAGTATGTGATAGATTGTACAATTCATCAGAAGAGCCATTCAAGGCCCTTGGGCCTCTTGTTTAAGAAAATGACCAATTTGTTTTTAAAATAAATGAAAATAAGGATACATGTAATTTAGATTTTTTTGAAAAAAAACATTGAATTAATTTAATTGTATTTTAGGTCAGCATGATGGGCTACTTGGGGGATTCAGGATATCCATGCAGGAGATTCCTATGACCCATGTTTAATACTGAATCCTGCAACTAATTCGGAGCAGGATTTCAATCTGTCATTGTGCAGGACCCGGGTGTTAATTGAGCAGACCTTTGGTGTCTTGAAATTTTTTTTTTTCCAGAGTCTACACCATGAAATGGCAACAGAGCCCCCACAGGCAGCCATTTATATTACAGCCTGCGTTGCCCTGCACAACATAGGGATTCAGAGAGGTGACGTGATGCCAAACGGAGATGGATTTCTTAATCCTGTTAATGATGATGGCGTGCGCTTCCAAGGACGAAACGATGGAATGTTCATGAGGCAGCATATTGTAAATAATTTTTTTTGAATTTGTACATTTGATACTACAGTGTAGTATATACTATAAGTCTATATCTGTACATGGAGTATTTTTAAGTCGAAAATGTGAAAAGTTTACAGACGGACGGACGACGGACACAAAGTGATCAGAAAAGCTCACTTGAGCCTTAGGCTCAGATGAGCTAAAAATTATTACACTTGTACACATATCCATACCATTTAGAAAAAAAACCCAATAAAACTCTAAATTTTGTGATCAATAAAGAATTTATTTAATTACGTGAACATCACCACTGTCACTTTTTCTGAAAATAAGTCAGTGTATATATATATATAAAATCATTGTAACACTATACTTATCCAATAAATGTTTTGCAAAATCATTTTGCATCTGTATCCAACACAGAATATAAGGCAATCTTTTCATAAAATTACAGCTATTATACAAAAACAGCATTATATGTTTTGTATACACCCAGTATTATTCATCATGATGTAAAGAATGACAATTTCATCTTTTCACACATACTTATACTGTTATACTTTGATCGTATATGTTCTATTTTCTTATACATGTGAATTAAAAATTTTTAGTATGAATTGTGATTAAGAAAGCTCTAGACACTAACAAAAACTGTTTTTTATATTTTGAACTCATATAGAAAAATATATCTTGTAAAAATATGCATATTGAGACTCCTTCATTCATTTCATATGTGCCTTATTTGCACAGGAAAAATGTTCAAAGACACTGGACTATTTGTGAGCTGAAATTGCTGTTGTTTACTAGCTTAAATTGGGAAAATTAATGAAAATAATTAAATTTCTTACTCTTGATCTTATATAATGCTAAAAATAGTTTAATCTATTTATAAATTATGTGATTAACGGTAAATAACAATTTCTTAGATATAAGGGCAGATAACTCTAACTACGTAACAGTTGAATATGTACAAATTTCAAATTTTCTGCAAAGTTGTCAATATTTGAAAAATCTAAGTAATTACCAAATAAAAATGAATTATGACATTTTAATTTTTATACATAACAATGTGGAAAAGGATCTTAGTTAATATTTTAAGCTATTATTGTTATTGTGTGTGTCAATAAAATTATTTGTACAGTATACATGTACATGTATGTAATACTTCAGTGTAGGCCTTTCAATTGCGGCTAGGGGTCGGTTTTATGAACAATAACTCACTATTAAAACATGTTGAGAGCAGACACGGGGTATCTAACTGTTTACACGCAAGGCAGTTTTTAGCATTTACTAAGGATTTCTTTGCTCTCAGTAGAATCCAGTGGTTTTAAAATTTAGCACCAATGTTAAACTTATTTACTGTATAGTTGCGGACACCATTTCACTACATATAATTAAAAGTTTTAATTAAAATAAAAAGTGAAATCTACCCTCCTTCTTAGTTCTAACCTAATTAAATTTTTATTCACGGTCATTCTCATTCGTGCTTAGTTACACAAGTAAGATGATCAACTGCTGCATTTACTTGTAAAAATATATATATTTATATAGGAAGTGAAAAAGCGCGAACACAAAAAACATGACATTAAATTTTCTTCTTCATAATAATCGTCAAAGAGAGTTAAAAATATTGAATATAGTCTGTTACCCATTCATTTGACCCTGTTATTTCAGGTAGAGTGAAGGCAAATCTCTTTCTCATGGTGAACACTTTTGTGTACAAAACAATGTAAGGAACCCTTTTGTGTACATAACAATTCCAATTCTGAAGCAGCCTATATGTCATTCCTATAAACAATAACTCATAAATCTGCACTAAGTTGGTCATTTTTCACACCCGAGTTACCTATCGGAAAAGTCATTTATAAATAATTAAACTTTTTAATGGTTTAATTAAATGTATGCATAAGTTATTATCTTTTTTGATAATTTCATGTACCTATAAATCTATCTCTGCAATGTTTTTTACCATATGTGCAACATGAAAAATTAGTTGAAAGGCCTATTCAGTGTCATATTAATGCATGTACATTGTATATTTATTCATAGAACATGTTTAATAAATTCTAGCTGCATTATTTAATTCATGCCTTTATGTTTTTTAATCATTTGAAGAGAGAGAGGGGGGATCTATGTCAATACATGTACTAGGTAATTTACATTTCAGGCTCAGCAATAGGAATCTGGAACTCTGTTTGCAGTTTTAACTGATAATATAATTTCTTAACGTTAAAATAGGCAGTCTCCTCCGAAAGTTTTTCAGTTTCTTTTCTCAGCTTCAGAATCTCTAGCTCCAGCCTTTGTTTGTCCATCTTTAGGTTTTCGGCCAATAATTTGTCTACTTCTGAACACGTTCCCGGCCTTGTTTCTGCATTGACATTAACAAAAGCATAAGTATATTTGCAAAATAGTTATGGCCTTAGACCATTCCAAGTTTTTTTTTATCTATTTAGCGTCTTTTTTGGTCTGTGTGTTTTTTTTTTGTTTTTTTTTTCTTTTTTGAATAGGTAGGTAGGATTTTGTAAAATGGGTGGACGCTAAACAAAGAAAAAAACTTGGATTGGCCTAATATAAAAAACAAGAGGCCCAGGGGCCACATCACTCACCTGAGCAATTTGCTAGGAAAAAGCACATATCATATCCGAACTAAGATGTTTACTGAGTTTGGGGGCTTGAATTTTAACCTCCTAGGGGGTCATGGTTTGAACAAACATGAATCTACACTACCTGAGGATGATTCCATATAAATATCACTAAGCATGGATTTGAAGTTCTTGAAAAGAGGATTTTAAAAGGTTTCCCTATATATTCCTATGTAAAACTTTGATCGGCCATTTTGGCCCCACCCTACCCCCGGGGGTCATGATTTGAACAAATTTGAATCTACACTACCTAGTGATGATCGATTTCACATGAGTTTCATCTTTTCTGACCCAGTGGTTCTTGAGAAGAAGATTTTTAAAGAATTTTCCTTTATATTCCTATGTAAAACTTTGATCCGCCATTTTGGCCCCACCCTACCCCCGGGGGTCATGATTTGAACAAACTTGAATCTACACTACCTGGTGATGATTCCACATGAGTTTCATCTTTCCTGGCCCAGTGGTTCTTGAGAAGAAGATTTTTTAAAAATGCCATTAATTTTTCTCTAATTCATAATTATCTCCCCTTGGAAAAGGGCGTGGCCCTTCATTCGAACAAACCTGAATCCCTTCCACCTAAGGATACTGTATAGCAAGTTTGGTTGAAATCGGCTCAGTGGTTCTTGAGAAGAAGATGAAAATGTGCAAAGTTTACAACAACAACGACGATGACGACAACAACGACGACTACAACGACAGACAACGGACAAATTCTGATCAAAAAAGCTCACTTGAGCCTTTGGCTCAGGTGAGCTAAAATAATTTGTTTGCTGTACTCTCTATCATACATGTAACTAAACTAAATTCAATATGCTTGTTCTAGCTACAGTAGATAAAACAACATGAACTAGTTTACAAAAAGCTACTGGTTGATGTATAGAGGACATCTATAATTGTGTGATGATACAGGTATTGGCTTTATCCAACTCGATTAAATAAACTAAGTGTATATTCACTTAGCAAGCCTCTCGAACATATACAGGATTTTAATTCTTGGATAAAGCCAATATCAAATCACACAATTATAGATGTTCTATTTATCTCATACAACTTCCCTTTTAACAAAACTTTACGTTTTCCTCTGTGAAACTACATGAATGATTTCTTATTCAAATTGATGACATATAACTTAATGACATGTGCAGATCTAGAGGGATGGGTCTGCGGGGTCAGGACCCCCCCCCCCCCCTAGAATTTGCAAGGTTATTAAATTAATATACAAAAGCAAGAAAAAAGTTAACTTTGACACCTCCCCCCTGGTAAATGCGAATTTGTATTAAAGTCGTATGAAAAGTCAAAGGTTTGAAGTATTGAAACATTAAAAGTCATTGTCTAAACACCCCCTCCCCCTCTGGATTGGCGCCTGCTTAATGATGTAGCAATTTTGATGTTGAAATGCCTTGAAAGAAAATACCGGGTAGATATTGTTCAAACTGAAAATTTGAAGGACTAAGAGATCATGAAAATACTGTTAGTGTAGAAGTACTTTTTTCCATGTGCCCTATGTACGCAGCTAAAAATTTGCCACGGAAATTTGTCCAAGTGTACTAATATGAATAAAAGGCATATACTGTATATACTCGCCTATAAGTCGGTTGTATTTAATAAGCTTATATTTCAGATGGACTGACCTCATATAATACCATTCTTTTTATAGCTTGCCTATAGGTCGGACACAGAATTTTGGACCAGACATTAACTCCCCAAAAAACGACTTATAAGCAAGTGTGTATATATGGTAGTCAAAAAAAAAAATATATCTGTGTAATTTTCTAACCACGGATTAAACAGACATTGAGATTCCGCGATATTATGACCCCGTGGAAGTATGTCTACAGTAAACTTAAGGGAAAGAATTTTCACAAATAAAAGTTTCAATAAATCTTGAGGCGAGGGGTTGTGTCAAACCAGAGGTGCTATTGATAAAGCATCTACTCGTGGATATAGCATCTAGGCTTATGCAACGGGTAGTATCATCCACACTTTTTTATGAGATAAATTTGTGTATTCATACTTCATTTCACTTTAGTACTACACGATTGAGGCACTTACTCTTCATGATGTTTTTTTCGGACACTTGAGGTGTAGCAGCTGCACTACATGTAGGTGCATCCGACAATGAACTGCATGGAGCAGGACTGCTTTCTTCAATGGCTGAAAAGTGTTGATGATACATGTATAATGAAACTACCTATTAAACTGATAATTTAGACAAATTTGTATTTGATAACATGTGATAGATTTATGCACGTCAGTACCATCTGTATCTATCCCTCCATCTATCCCTTCAACTATTGGCCTCCCATCCAGTGAATTGGCCAATGCCTCCTCTGCAGATGTCAAGGGGGGAGGTGCTGGTCCACCACCTGTCTGTCTAACTGACCGCTTGATAAGGTCAATCTTCTCTTTGGCTAAAAAAAGCATTTAAGTTTTTTAACATGCTGTGTTTAATTTAATTTTTTTGTGTGAATTAACAATAACTTTATTGTTACTTGTTAATATTAAAAATCATAACATCATTTATAATATTTAGTTATTATATATATATTTCTGTTGGGCCACCCTTAAAAAATTTTTTGTTTGGAATTGCTGACTGGACGGTTTCAGACTCAGATTCTCAGAAGGGAGGGAGGGAAATTTCTTTTATTTTTCAAAATTGTATATAGATTTTTAATTTTTGGTAAAAATCTCAGTAAACAGTAAATACATTTTCTACTTTTAAAAAAGTATCTATCATTAACAAAGAAACCTTATTTTGCATAGATCTGACACTACATTTTAGTGTTTTGTATTGTGCATGTGATTATAGGCAAAAAAATTGAATTTAAAAAAAGGCTTCCTACTTTTGGTCAATAATTTTTTTCAGGCGGGGGCATTTCAATAAGATAGGAAGCATTTCCAAACAACCAATAATTTGAATTTGGCATTACCATTGTATTATATAACAAATTTATTAGTAGAAATATCTTCCTAATGTTTACATAGATTTAATGTTATTGTTACCTCTAAGTTGAATGTAAATGTTTCAAAATTTATTGAATGTTACTCTGACACAGGCATCTCTTTTTTGCTAAAGAAATTTAGAAAAACACAACACAAGATCTCTATAATACATTTTTTAAAACTTTTTTATCAATCATTAATATTATAGTAACCTCCACCCCATTTATATATTTTACAAAATGGACTCAATGTTGGTCAAGATGCATTTATAATGACCCAGAATGACAGATATTGACCAAAGATACACAAAGTCCAATTTCAATATTATACATGTATCTGAGGTCAACATCTGTTGTCTTGGATATTGACCGTGCATCAAGTCCTACATTTATTAGTAGAATGTTTATCTTCCTAATGTTTACATAGATATTAATGTCCTGTTGTTGTTATCTTACCTATATGTGACCTGCTTGTGTTGTGTTATGGGTTTAAATTTCTTACGAAAACAAGTGCCTGTGTCAGAGTAACATTCAATAAATTTTGAAACATTTACATTCAACTTATTTAAGATAACAACAACAGGACATTAATATCTATGTAAACATTAGGAAGATAAACATTCTACTAATAAATGTAGGAAATTATATAATACAATAGTAATAATAAATTCAAATTATTGGTTGTTTGGAAATGCTTCCTTTCTTATTGAAATGCCCCCGCCTGAAAAAAATTATTGACCAAAAGTAGGAAGCCTTTTTTTAAATTCAATTTTTTTGCCTATAATCACATGCACAATACAAAACACTAAAATGTAGTGTCAGATCTATGCAAAATAAGGTTTCTTTGTTAATGATAGATACTTTTTTAAAAGTCAGAAAATGTATTTACTGTTTACTGAGATTTTTACCAAAAATTAAAAATCTATATACAATTTTGAAAAATAAAAGAAATTTCCCTCCCTTCCTTCTGAGAATCTGAGTCTGAAACCGTCCAGTCAGCAATTCCAAACAAAAATTTTTTTAAGGGTGGCCCAACAGAAATATATATATATATTAACTAAATATTATAAATGATGTTATGATTTTTAATATTAACAAGTAACAATAAAGTTATTGTTAATTCACACAAAAAAATTAAATTAAACACAGCATGTTAAAAAACTTAAATGCTTTTTTTAGCCAAAGAGAAGATTGACCTTATCAAGCGGTCAGTTAGACAGACAGGTGGTGGACCAGCACCTCCCCCCTTGACATCTGCAGAGGAGGCATCGGCCAATTCACTGGATGGGAGGCCAATAGTTGAAGGGATAGATGGAGGGATAGATACAGATGGTACTGACGTGCATAAATCTATCACATGTTATCAAATACAAATTTGTCTAAATTATCAGTTTAATAGGTAGTTTCATTATACATGTATCATCAACACTTTTCAGCCATTGAAGAAAGCAGTCCTGCTCCATGCAGTTCATTGTCGGATGCACCTACATGTAGTGCAGCTGCTACACCTCAAGTGTCCGAAAAAAACATCATGAAGAGTAAGTGCCTCAATCGTGTAGTACTAAAGTGAAATGAAGTATGAATACACAAATTTATCTCATAAAAAAGTGTAGATGATGCTACCCGTTGCATAAACCTAGATGCTATATCCACGAGTAGATGCTTTATCAATAGCACCTCTGGTTTGACACAACCCCTCGCCTCAAGATTTATTGAAACTTTTATTTGTGAAAATTCTTTCCCTTAAGTTTACTGTAGACATACTTCCACGGGGTCATAATATCGCGGAATCTCAATGTCTGTTTAATCCGTGGTTAGGAAATTACACAGATATATATTTTTTTTTTTGACTACCATATATACACACTTGCTTATAAGTCGTTTTTTGGGGAGTTAATGTCTGGTCCAAAATTCTGTGTCCGACCTATAGGCAAGCTATAAAAAGAATGGTATTATATGAGGTCAGTCCATCTGAAATATAAGCTTATTAAATACAACCGACTTATAGGCGAGTATATACAGTATATGCCTTTTATTCATATTAGTACACTTGGACAAATTTCCGTGGCAAATTTTTAGCTGCGTACATAGGGCACATGGAAAAAAGTACTTCTACACTAACAGTATTTTCATGATCTCTTAGTCCTTCAAATTTTCAGTTTGAACAATATCTACCCGGTATTTTCTTTCAAGGCATTTCAACATCAAAATTGCTACATCATTAAGCAGGCGCCGATCCAGAGGGGGAGGGGGTGTTTAGACAATGACTTTTAATGTTTCAATACTTCAAACCTTTGACTTTTCATACGACTTTAATACAAATTCGCATTTACCAGGGGGGAGGTGTCAAAGTTAACTTTTTTCTTGCTTTTGTATATTAATTTAATAACCTTGCAAATTCTAGGGGGGGGGGGGGTCCTGACCCCGCAGACCCATCCCTCTAGATCTGCACATGTCATTAAGTTATATGTCATCAATTTGAATAAGAAATCATTCATGTAGTTTCACAGAGGAAAACGTAAAGTTTTGTTAAAAGGGAAGTTGTATGAGATAAATAGAACATCTATAATTGTGTGATTTGATATTGGCTTTATCCAAGAATTAAAATCCTGTATATGTTCGAGAGGCTTGCTAAGTGAATATTCACTTAGTTTATTTAATCGAGTTGGATAAAGCCAATACCTGAATCATATCACACAATTATAGATGTCCTCTATACATCAACCAGTAGCTTTTTGTAAACTAGTTCATGTTGTTTTATCTACTGTAGCTAGAACAAGCATATTGAATTTAGTTTAGTTACATGTATGATAGAGAGTACAGCAAACAAATTATTTTAGCTCACCTGAGCCAAAGGCTCAAGTGAGCTTTTCTGATCACAATTTGTCCGTTGTCTGTCGTTGTAGTCGTCGTCATCGTCGTTGTTGTTGTAAACTTTTCACATTTTCATCTTCTTCTCAAAAACCACTGGGCCGATTTCAACCAAACTTGCTATAAAGTATCCTTAGGTGGAAGGGATTCAGGTTTGTTCGAATGAAGGGCCACGCCCTTTTCCAAGGGGAGATAATTATGAATTAGAGAAAAATTAATGGCATTTTTAAAAAATCTTCTTCTCAAGAACCACTGGGCCAGGAAAGATGAAACTCATGTGGAATCATCACCAGGTAGTGTAGATTCAAGTTTGTTCAAATCATGACCCCCGGGGGTAGGGTGGGGCCAAAATGGCGGATCAAAGTTTTACATAGGAATATAAAGGAAAATTCTTTAAAAATCTTCTTCTCAAGAACCACTGGGTCAGAAAAGATGAAACTCATGTGAAATCGATCATCACTAGGTAGTGTAGATTCAAGTTTGTTCAAATCATGACCCCCGTGGGTAGGGTGGGGCCAAAATGGCAGATCAAAGTTTTACATAGGAATATATAGGGAAACATTTTAAAATCCTCTTTTCAAGAACTTCAAATCCATGCTTAGTGATATTTATATGGAATCATCCTCAGGTAGTGTAGATTCATGTTTGTTCAAACCATGACCCCCTAGGAGGTTAAAATTCAAGCCCCCCCCCCCCCAAACTCAGTAAACATCTTAGTTCGGATATGATATGTACTTTTTCCTAGCAAATTGCTCAGGTGAGCGATGTGGCCCCTGGGCCTCTTGTTTTTTATATTAGGCCATTCCAAGTTTTTTTCTTTGTTTAGCGTCTACCCATTTTACAAAATCCTACCTACCTATTCAAAAAAGAAAAAAAAAACAAAAAAAAAAACACACAGACCAAAAAAGACGCTAAATAGATAAAAAACTTGGAATGGTCTTAGGCCATAACTATTTTGCAAATATACTTATGCTTTTGTTAATGTCAATGCAGAAACAAGGCCGGGAACGTGTTCAGAAGTAGACAAATTATTGGCCGAAAACCTAAAGATGGACAAACAAAGGCTGGAGCTAGAGATTCTGAAGCTGAGAAAAGAAACTGAAAAACTTTCGGAGGAGACTGCCTATTTTAACGTTAAGAAATTATATTATCAGTTAAAACTGCAAACAGAGTTCCAGATTCCTATTGCTGAGCCTGAAATGTAAATTACCTAGTACATGTATTGACATAGATCCCCCCCCTCTCTCTCTTCAAATGATTAAAAAAAATAAAGGCATGAATTAAATTATGCAGCTAGAATTTATTAAACATTTACTATGAATAAATATACAATGTACATGCATTAATATGACACTGAATAGGCCTTTCAACTAATTTTTCATGTTGCACATATGGTAAAAAACATTGCAGAGATAGATTTATAGGTACATGAAATTATCAAAAAAGATAATAACTTATGCATACATTTAATTAAACCATTAAAAAGTTTAATTATTTATAAATGACTTTTCCGATAGGTAACTCGGGTGTGAAAAATGACCAACTTAGTGCAGATTTATGAGTTATTGTTTATAGGAATGACATATAGGCTGCTTCAGAATTGGAATTGTTATGTACACAAAAGGGTTCCTTACATTGTTTTGTACACAAAAGTGTTCACCATGAGAAAGAGATTTGCCTTCACTCTACCTGAAATAACAGGGTCAAATGAATGGGTAACAGACTATATTCAATATTTTTAACTCTCTTTGACGATTATTATGAAGAAGAAAATTTAATGTCAACTTCCTATATAAATATATATATTTTTACAAGTAAATGCAGCAGTTGATCATCTTACTTGTGTAACTTTTTGAATAAAAATTTAATTTAGAACTAAGAAGGAGGGTAGATTTCACTATTTATTTTAATTAAAACTTTTAATTATATGTAGTGAAATTGTGTCTGCAACTATACAGTAAATAAGTTTAACATTGGTGCTAAATTTTAAAACCACTGGATTCTACTGAGAGCAAAGAAATCCTTAGTAAATGCTAAAAACTGCCTTGCGTGTAAACAGTTAGATACCCCGAGTCTGCTCTCAACATGTTTTAATAGTGAGTTATCGTTCATAAAACTGACCCCTAGCCGCAATTGAAAGGCCTACACTGAAGTATTACATACATGTACATGTATACTGTACAAATAATTTTATTGACACACACAATAACAATAATAGCTTAAAATATTACCTATGATCCTTTTCCATATTGTTATGTATAAAAATTAACATGTCATATAATTCATTTTGATTTGGTAATTACTTAGATTTTTCAAATACTGACAACTTTGCAGAAAATTTGAAATTTGTACATATTCAACTGTGACCTAGTTAGAGTGATCTGCCCTTATAAGTAAGATTAAAGAAATTGTTATTTACTGTTAATCACATAGTTTATATATAGATTAAAATATTATTAGCATTATATAAGATCAAGAGTAAGAAATTTAATTATTTTCATTAATTTTCCCAGTATAAGCTAGTAAACAACAGCGATTTCCTGTGCAAATAAGGCACATACCCTAAGATCTAAATGAATGAAGGAGTCTCAATATGCATATTTTTACAAGATATATTTTTCTATGAGTCCAAAATATAAAAAACAATTTCTGTTAGTGTCTAGAGCTTCCTTAATCAAAATTCATACTTTTACAATTTTTTAATTCACATATATAAGAAAATAGAACATATAAGATCAAAGTATAACAGTATAAGTATGTGTGAAAAGATGAAATTGTCATTCTTTACATCATGATGAATAATACTGGGTGTATACAAAACATATAATGCTGTTTTTGTATAATAGCTGTAATTTTATGAAATGATTGCCTCATATTCTGTGTTGCATACAGATGCAAAATGATTTTGCAAAACATTTATTGGATAAGTATAGTGTTACAATGATTTTATATATACACTGACTTATTTTCAGAAAAAGTGACAGTGGTGATGTTCACAATGACATAATTAAATAAATTCTTTATTGATCACAAAATTTAGAGTTTTATTGGGTTTTTTTTCTAAATGGTATGGATATGTGTACAAGTGTAATAATTTTTAGCTCATCTGAGCCTAAGGCTCAAGTGAGCTTTTCTGATCACTTTGTGTCCGTCGTCCGTCCGTCTGTAAACTTTTCACATTTTCGACTTAAAAATACTCCATGTACAGATATAGACTTATAGTATATACTACACTGTAGTATCAAATGTACAAATTCAAAAAAAATTATTTACAATATGCTGCCTCATGAACATTCCATCGTTTCGCCCTTGGAAGCGCACGCCATCATCATTAACAGGATTAAGAAATCCATCTCCGTTTGGCATCACGTCACCTCTCTGAATCCCTATGTTGTGCAGGGCAACGCAGGCTGTAATATAAATGGCTGCCTGTGGGGGCTCTGTTGCCATTTCATGGTGTAGACTCTGGAACCGACGCTTCAAGACACCAAAGGTCTGCTCAATTAACACCCGGGTCCTGCACAATGACAGATTGAAATCCTGCTCCGAATTAGTTGCAGGATTCAGTATTGGGGTCATCAGGAATCTCCTGCATGGATATCCTGAATCCCCCAAAAGTAGCCCATCATGCTGACCTAAAATACAATTAAATTAATTCAATGTTTTTTTTCAAAAAAATCTAAATTATTACATGTATCCTTATTTTCATTTATTTTAAAAACAAATTGGTCATTTTCTTAAACAAGAGGCCCAAGGGCCTTGAATGGCTCTTCTGATGAATTGTACAATCTATCACATACTTCTTTTTGAAGTCTTCAGCTCTTATTAATAAGTATCCAAAGACCTAAGATGCATCAACTGACAAAGTTTGATGATCAAAAGCTAGGCCTTAAAATGTCCAAAATATGTCTCAAAATCAATTTGAAAACAAATGCCTGCAAAATTATAAAAGAAGGTCACTGTGACCTATTTTTCAGTTAACGTGATGTAAAGTCCTAAGATTCACCAGTCGTACAAGATTTGATGATCCTTGTCTTTATAGTACACAAAATATTAATTAACAAATTTATTTAGTGTAAATTTTGGTCAACTTTAAAGTGAATTTGAGACCACGCCCTTTGCCCCAGGGTAATTCTCCTTGCAAATTTTAATCTTAAACATATCCTGATCCTTGTAAGTAAGTTTGGTGAAAATTTGCCTGGTGGTTCAATCTGGAATGGAAGATTTTTAGAAACCAGTGCCTTTGGTTTTATTTTCCCGATTATCTCCCTTTGCTTAAGAGTCCCAGTGCTAGTTTTAATTTAAATTAATGGTTAATATTTTTACTACTTCCACAATAAAAGCTTTATGTACCCCTTGGGCCAAGGAGCTGTCACAAATTTGACAATAATTGGCCAGCAATTGAAGGGTTCTTGAGTTATGGCTTAAAAAGTTCACCACACACAGCACAAATTTTAATGGCCATAGTATATTATAGCTCTTTGAGCCTTTGGCTCAGAAGAGCTAATAAAATTCAAAAGATCTTATAAATTTGGAGACCTTAGGAACGTATTGGACTAGAATTATAACTAATTAGCAATTGGTTTTAATCACTTTTCACACTGGATATCAGTTCTCCTAAAAAAAATTGTGTAAAAGTTATAACTATCTGTTAGGAGCAAATATTTAAATTTTGGGAATTGAGGCACATTATTTGTTATTTAATGAAAAAAAGGAGGAATCTCACCATTTTCAAACTGTGCACACAGTGCGGATTGTCTGAACACCCTGCTGTCATGAACAGATCCAGGCCAACTTGCAACACAGCTTGTTATCCTAAATGTGTGGTCACAGCACATCTGTATATTAATTAAAGTGTAAGGGAATTTCACAACAGACAAAAATTTAATTTATTAACAATATAGTATATATTTTACAATTATTGCTGGTTTTTGAGGTCAATACAATGATTTAGCCATCTGAGGAGTACAATATTCACCGAGCCCGAAGGGCGAGGTGAATATTGTACTTCGAAGATGGCTTAATCATTGTATTGACCGAAAAAACAGCAATAATTGTTTTATTATATGATTCACTGATAAAATGATACAGCTTATTTTATTAAGTCCTAGCCAGTTACAAGAGAGAAGCAGAATTAAAATGTGAATAAACCTTACCAGTCGTTTCAATTTGAAATGTTTTTTTAAATTAATTTTAGTTGCCATGAAAAAAATATATAATGTCAATCTTTTTCATAGGATTGATTTTGAAAGGAAGGAGTATTATCAGGGAAAACTAACTGCCAAAAAGTAAAAAAGTAAAAAAAAAATTGTTGTTCAGTAAAAGTGTTGGAGGGGGACCCTGCATACCCTCTTAACACCCTCACCTAAAATATATATTCGCTTATGTATTGTTCACATGAAAATAAAAATCACAGTCGATTAAAGAGCTTTCTAAAACAATTTGTATCAATTTGGAATTTTCCAATCTATTTTTAGATCAATGTAGAGTAAATAAGTCCTTGTATTGATCTGGAACGCCACATGCAGGTCAATACAACGTAATATTTTTCTAACATAGTTGGATCTCAGCCAATCAGAGAGATGGAAATTATTCAATCATATAATAAAGTTCATTATGTTCCAGAAATGTGTATAAAAATAAAATATCTAGTATTCAAGTAAAAATGAAATGATTTCAGATGTACCAAGATATTATTGGTCAGTAAGCATATGATATGCATTATGACTTATAGGTAACTACATGTATATTCTTCTTTATATTTCTTTTTTTTTTTTCAAAAACAAGTTTCAAAAGCATATAATATTTACAACTCTTACATTTTTTTATTGAATGCATCATTTTTTCTGTTTATTCATTAAAATTTCCTTATCTTAAAAGATTAAATGACTTTCAATATTAGATCCAGATGATCAAACTTTACTAATACTTTTACCTGCACATTCAAAGAATGATAGCCTTTTCTGTTGACATAATCTGCTTCATTCAGTTTTGGCTTCCTAATTCTAATCTGAGTGCCATCCAAACATCCAAGGACATTTGGAAAACCTAAATTTCATTAGAATAAAGAATACATGTGTCACACTCACTGGCCTCTCTAGATAAATTAATAATTAATGCAATTATTTAAAATCAAAAAATAATTAAGCTCTGTAATATATACTATATATTGTATAAAATATTAATTACACAATACAAAAATTTCAAATTTTAAATAATTTTCTTTCTCTTATTTTATTATTGTATATCACTAAAGTATTCAAAATTATATTAAGTGATTTTGAAATTAGTACAGTCCATTAATTTTTTTTTTAGCTGCAATTAATGGACAGATATAATTACACATTCCATGTTTAATTATTAATTTATTTATCTTGTTTTTTATAATATGGTACAAAGTATTGCATGAAAAAAAGTGAAACGGTATTGTATTGATGGTAATTTACGCTTTCATTCACTGGGGTCTTAAAATAACTATAGTTATAGGACCTAAACTAATGGGAGTCGAAACGACAAGGTATCGAATTTCTGACGTAATTTTCAA